CTAGCTTAGCCACGAATTTAGGGACTAAAAACTAAGATTAGCTAATGATTTTCTATGCACTATATCAGGGTAGAGAATTAAAATTTCTCCTATTTGGCACAATACATATTATGAACATTTATCTCATCTCATTTTACCATAGCCTCATTGCAGTGGGAATGATGTTTTTTCACATAAGAATCTCCGTTATATAAACATAGTTAATAGATTAGTATTTAATGTTTTAAATTTTTCATATTTGATATGATAATTATTTAGAAATTTAATTTTGATTACATCTCAACAATTGAAATTACTGACAGTGATTTCAATTGACTTTCTGTGAATTTCCTAGCAAGTTTGTCATTTCCAATTTAAACCTTCCCCGTAGGATCGATATTTGGGGTTTAAATAGAAAGTCCATTATTACTTGATAATGATATGTATACTTGCATAGAATTTGAATATTAATTGATTATATTTAATTAAATTTTACACAATCTATCGCAACAAAAAAGCCGGATCATGATGCGACTTTTTTATATGCTATGCTTCATGAAGTTGACACCGCTACTTGAAGATTTTAATCCTCGGCAACGACGCCAAAAACTTGATGCGGACTTAATTTTTTTATCAATTTTATATATTCTACATAGTCACAATGATATAAGCGCAACTATATGTATCGCTCAAGTAATACAGAGCTCTAATAGAGTCCCGTTTATCGATCCCATAGGGAAGCGAGGTAAGAGGTCCTTAGTCAAATTTCTAGTCTACTACTATTAGGCCTTAGATTGGAATGTCGATTAAAATGGTGTTTTATCGAACAACTACTCCTAAATGCAAATGTTAAATGTAATGATAATAATTATTTCTTAATGCAAATGTTAATTCTCAAGATAACCCCTTTTTTGAATGAATTGGTTTGGAGAATTTAGAGATGTTAAAAAACTACTATTCTTATGTAGTGAATTGGATAATGGAAGAAATTAAAATCATTTAAAAGTATATAAAAAATTTTTTATGTCAAATAGGAGCAATCCTATTCTTTACCCTCGTCATCGACCGTTTTGGAAATTGATCACGGGCGCTAATCCTAGGTTTAGTCCCTAAATTCGTGATTAGGCTGGGAGGATACTGGCTCTCACTCCAGAGCTCTCACTTCCCTGCACCTGAAGGCTAACTCTCGCTTTAGTTTCCAAACACTAGGACCAAATTAGGGATTTTAATCTGTCACCCTAAAATCTCCAATTCTACGCCCATCAAAGTATATTTCCCTATTTATTTGCTTCTAAACCCAATGAAATTCACCATCCATGGAATTTGAATGTGGTTCAACTTTGTTGAGAATTACACCACCCTCGCAGGTCTTAATGTAATTACAACAAATTTTAACACTACAATAGACCTTTATTGTAATATAAATGAAGTGCAAGTAAAAACCATCACATTTATAATTAAAACTTCTTCTAGCATGCACCCCAAAATCCTAAACATGAATCCTACTCATTCCAAAAGAAAAGTAAATGGAAAACAATGACATAATTCTTTCATGCCACTATTTCTTAATAAGAATAAAGAGTAAGAAAAAACACATCACCAAGCACGAAGAAAACACAATGGAGAACTTCATTTCATCAAAGCAAATCCACTAAATAAGTGTTTAAAAAATCATAATATAATGAAGAACACAATACTTAGTTTTTCCCCTTGAAAGAAAGATGAAAATCTCTCCCACAAAGTCTCCCGTTGATCCATGCAATGCTAGAACATTCCTTTACAGATTCTCTCAAAATCCCCTCCCCAATCTCTCCAAAAAGGTAGAAATCTACATTTCTACTCCTATTCTAAGATCTCTAGACATTCTCCTCACTTTTCCACTCACACACACCACTTTTTCTGACATAAAAACACTCTATTATAGTGTAGGGATGAATTTCCCAAGAGATGCCTCAAGCAACCTTCCAAAAAGCATCCAAATACATTGAATCTTCTAGAAATTTGCCCAGCATCGCGTCCACTGTCGATGCCGTTTTGGGCGCCTTCGGAGCCATTTTCACGTTGCTCTCTGCACTCTGGCGCCATCGGTGCCCACCTTGTGCAACTCCACCATTTTGCTTCGTTTGACTCCATTTCGCCCCAATTCAGTTGTATTGTGTTCCTAAAAGATAGACCTAGAAAATAAACATAAAAGCAACCTTCCTTTAAACTGTAATTTCATTCAGAAACATGTGAGAAGTGTAAAAGAGATTAAGCATAGAAATACATATTGAAATGTGTCAGGACATAATTTTCTTTCTTGCTCGTTTTTGCTCCAAATTTTATAATTTTCTTTCTTGCTCGTTTTTGCTCCAAATTACACCGTTTTTGCTTCTTTTTCTCCAAAACTCCATTTTTTGTACCTGAAACCAAGATTATACAAAATATCTTCCTTTAAAGTGCAATATGATTGAAAATCACCAAATTCAGACATTAAAAGTATATGAAAAATTGAACATATTTTAGCCGTATCAAAATCCCTCAAACTTAATTGTTATCAAACTTAATTGTTACTTGTATTGTTACTTGTCCTCAAGTAACACTATAATTTTAAAAACTAAATTTATTGATTTGAGGTAATGGATTTCAGTAGAGTTTTCTATAATTTTGTCTCAGAAAATGTTATAATGTAACTTAAGAGAAATTTTAGCAAATCAACCTAGAACTACAGTGTAAGAATATCTCATATTCAACTTAGAAATCCTGATTTTTTATTTATTTCAAAAGTTGTTGAAACTTGTCAAACAAAAGATTCATATAAAGTATTAAAACATAATTTAAGCATCTTATCTATACCAATTTTACCAATACTTTTTTGAAATAAGAATAAGTTTAGGAGATAAGCTTAGGATTGTTTTTAAGTCTTTTCATTTAAAAAGATTTAAGTGAAACTAATTTTTTATTAGGCTTTTTCTCAAGCTTCTTCTCACATATTTTCTTTTTCTTTATGAATTGTTTTTCAATCCTTTCTTTTCTTTTTCTTTCAGAGTCATTTAATCCTTATTCTTCTTTTTTCTCTTTTTTTATGTGAAGATTACTATATATGAATAGACCTTTAATAATTTTGAATTTCACTACCTCTTTGAAAAGTCCAAAACTCAAAAACTTTCCCTCACATTTTAAAAGTGTAAGTATTAGTTAAAAAAAAGGTTTTAATAAAGGCTCAATTCTCAATAAGTATAAATCTAAGAATCATAGTTTTTCAAATACTCAACTCCTTTCTACCATAAATAGCAAAATCATTTTCCCAATGTTTCCTACAAAATATCTTAACTCTAGAACTGTTTTTTCACATAGGATTTCAGCTAAGTTATTTTTCTAACATTCCTAAAATCAAAGTTATAGTAACCTAAAGATAACACCCTATACCACAAGTCATTTTAAAAGTAATATCAAATTAAATACGGGCTACTGAGGACAAATAAAGTTATGTTTTTTTTAAAAAAAAATTTCTTCCCCCAAAGTTAAATTTTAAAATATGTTGTAATTAATTCTACAAAATGTAGCAAGAAGAAAAAGTAAAAGTTGAATCTAGTAACTATTACAATATCCTATCAAATTCATATACATGCATAATCAGGATAGAATGACTGCAGAAGAAAGTAAATCTAGTCTAAAACATGCTTGCAATAATATTAAATTAAAAGAAAGTAAAAAGAGTTATTAAATTTTTATTTTTTTTCCTACCACTAAACTTGATTTTTGACATGTATAGCATTTAGTGCAGAAGATATAAGTAAAAAGAAAAACATTTTAGAAATTTTATCTACCACAAATTTCTATCAAAAACATCTATAATTATTTATCATTATTGAAAACATGTAGTAGAAAGTAAATCTAAACTAAACATGTCAGAATGAAATTAACTAAATAAAAGTCTAACTAGCATAACATGTACCAGCCTAACTACTAAATAAAAGTCTAACTAGCATAACATGTACCAGCATTAGAATATAAAAATGTTCGTCAAGTCTTATAAAATTGTAACACAAACACAAATAAACAAACAAGACAATTGAGGTCAATTCTTCCTCCATCTCATCGCATCTCACTAACTTACTTCCAATTTCTAACAGAATCACTACACAGATAAATAAGGTACATTTTAAGTGATTTTATAGAGTATAATCCCAAAGATAAGATTTTCTTTGATATATTGGCCCCTTTTAATTAAGCACCTCTCACAGTTATAAGGATAGTGTAAGATCATCCACATATTATTCATCAAATAGGTTCATGACTCCTACCAAATGAAATTAAAGTCAGAAAAAAGGAAGTAATAAAATTGAGATGGAACTGTCACTGTTCAAATTCAAGATGTCTCTTGTAAAATTCAAGCCCGGGTGAGACCTGCCTATTTAGAGAATTCCATCTGTTAAAATGAATATACCCCCTACAATTTTAACTGAATTTAGAGAAAACCAAAAATTTTTTAACTGAAATTTCATGTGGGTCCACCCTGCCATATGTCAACATCTCATTGGACGCTGAATGGTTCTCTACGTTAAGACACTGTACCAAATACACGCTCCTCAATAAGAACTTATGTTTTTCATGTTTCCACACACACACACAAAAAGCATATGCAAAATCTTGAAACTCTCGACTAAGAAAAAATAACTTGAATAAGAAGGACGAAGGACAAAGACAATAAAATGTTAGGTTCTATATAAGTAAATACTATATTTTAGAATTTAATTTTAAAAAAAACTATATTTTGTATGATAGACATATAAATATTAATACTATAAAAATATAATTGCAAATAACTATCAATTTTTTTCAACAGATCCTTAACGATTAACTTTCTTTATGCCCAATCTCACCAATAGCAGCACAAAGAAATTTTTTTTTTTAACATGAATGAGAAAGCAAATTATACACTTAATTAAAACATAAAATGTTCAAGCCCAAAATGCAGATTACAAATCACATTGTTCAAAAATCATTATAAAAATAATAATTTTCCCCTTACATAAAACATTCAAATTTCCATCTATAAGATTAAGTTGCCGAAAATACATAACCCCTCTGCACACAATGCTAATTGAATAAAAATAAACAAACAAGAAAGTAGAAACTCTAATACTAGGAACACCATTAAGGAAATTAAATTTATAAGCCTGATGACCCCACATCTGCATTGCTAACTATCATGCTGCGTCACTTGGTTGACACTTTTTTATTTAGTCCTCATTGTTTAAACTTCTGCTCTTCTTCCTCTTTAAATTTTTGCGCCCATCTTTCCCTTCAGATTTTTTGCTGTTCACCTTGGATGATTCTTTTCTCTTCAAGTGAGTTTGCCTATCCATGTCTTCATTATCACTTGCGCTAAGTTCGAAAGCTTCAACAAACATTTGGTTTTTGTTCCCCAACTTTTTTCTTGATTCTATCAATTTGGTTCTTCTCTCTTGGTGATTCTTCCTTTGTTCTAAAACAACCTGCTGCGGACTGCTCGTCATCCGCAAAACATGTATTTGATCATTAGCATCACCTGAAGGAACTGTAAGAAAATGCAAAATAGATGTTTTCAAGGGACTATGTTCTAAACATAATCACTAGTCAACACATAATGAACAAGAAAAATGAGAAATTTCAATATTTGTATTTAAAAAAAAATCAAGTCCGTTATTATCAAGCATGAAAAGTCACCAGGTTTAATGACCAAAAAATCCATCCTAAACACAGGCAAAAAGAACACAACGATGCTACAATACCAAATACATGTACAACATTATTGTGTCTGTGAGATGAGATTATTTCACACGGAGCACTTACGCAACTCTGCATCCGGATTCCAGTAATATGCCGCCACGTGGAGGTTATTGAAGGAAACCCGCGGAGATTATTGAGGGGTTATTGAAGTGTTATTATGAGGTTATTGTGGGGGTTATGCAGGTGACAGAGATTATTGAGAGGTTATTGGGGTGCCATTACGAGGTTATTGCAGAGTGTAACCGAGGAGGTTATTCGAAGGTTTTTGAGAGTGTAATAACGGAGGTTATTGAGAGGTTATTGTGGCGTTATTAGAATTAATACTCCAATAACCCCCAAGAACCCCTAATTACCCTCCCAATAACCTCTGTGGTTCCACTTCAATAATCTCCGCAAGAGGTGGGCCCGATATATCACACATGGCGACATATTACTGGAATCCGCATGCAGTGCTACGTACGTGCTACGTACGTGCTCCGTATGTAATAATTTCTCCTGTGAGAGAGAGGGAGAGAGGGAGAGAGGGACAGAGAGGACCTTCGCTAGAGAAATGTGAATCAATCACCACATTTGTCAGATGTTGCTTGAGAAACACCTGCCAAAAAAAGTGCAATATTTTAATAAAATGAAGGAAAGGAAGAAGACAAAGAATCACTCAAACCAGGCAAACATATTGTGTATATATGAAAGTATTTGGCAGAATAAAAGTAATATTCTGCATTTTCATCTTTGAAGGGAGCACTAAATTGCAAGAACAACATATACATATATTACAACATACCGCAGATAAAAGTTGTCGAGTTCTGGAATCCCAAATGCGCAAATAGCTGTCCAGTCCTACAAAAGACAATTGAAGTTCAAGGAGGTGAAGACAAGTAAATAAAATTTTATAAGCATGTAAGCTACAAGCTTTAAGTGACACTAATATCGGGTAAATGTACAAATGATAAAAAAAGACAGAAGAAACTCACCGCAAGAAGCTAAAAGTGGTAGCTCTGGATGCCTAGCTATGGATCTGATACTACCAGCACATTTACCTACAAAACAACCTAGCAGTTTTCCTGCAAGAAACTTTGAGACGATGTTTCAACTTTGTTACAAAAGATTAACACTATATTCAATGCAGCCCAAATGAAAATTAAACTGGAATGTCGTATAATATATAGATAATGAAATAATGATAAAATTCTTTTATTTTCAATTTCAATTTTAAGGAATTTATAGTTTCGGTCAAGCATCGACTGTTGTGGATTAGAATGTCGGTTTTAGCTTTAACAGACAAAAAGTAAAAGAAAAAGCTTATATGTGGAGAAGTCAAATACAGGTATAATTATAATTGAGATTATAAATATGCAAAATTAAGGATAAAGTAAGAATTTCCAAAAAACTTTGAGAGAATTATGATTTTAAGTTGTGTATTCTAGATAGTGAGCTCAAAACGAGCCTAGAGAATCTCATCGAAAGGCTGTCCCATCAATTCATGTGAGATAATCAAATGCTAAATTTAATAGCATTATGTTTATCAAATCATTACTTACCCCTATTGATTTTATATTCATTTATTAACTATTGACGCATGAAATGGGCATTTAAAATTTTCATACTATTGCCTATATGTATATTTTATAAAAACAAGCTTAAATATAAACTATTAATATTACTGATATTATTATATTTTTGTGCATATTAAAAAAGCGATTTGTTTGTAATTTGCAATTACATTCAGATAAATAGTAATTACATATAAAATTTATTATAACAGAAAAAAAAAAATCATAAGTGCTGTGTTATATAGATTATTTTATTGATGACCCGTGCAAGAAAAAATGACAGGAAAATTATTAAATTGATGACTTTATATTAAGGTCTGAGCAGACCAATTATTATCAAGGGGGACTATTGAAAACTGCGATGTTAGGATGATCAACCTTTATTAGTAGTTACATGGTCGACGGACTGGGGGATGACCCAATTAAATGATATGAGTGAAAGCATATGCAAATACAATGTGGCGTTCCTAAAACTATAAAACAAACAAAAAAAAAAGTGAAAGTATAAATAAAGGCATGCATATGTTTGCATAAGAAATGAATAAAACCATTATTAATTACATTTTAATAGTTACTGATTACTTCTAACATCGCGCTTATTTCATATTTCGTATATTTCATAAATTAAAACATGTTTGTTTCTTTACTGTCGTCGTTCATACTAACAATTGACTAACAGGCACATTATTTCTTTCTTGTAGATTGAAATTTTACGTTAGCACTTATTATTTCACTAAGTTCGTAGCTTATTCTAGATTATGTTGCTGCTTTCAGAGAGAGATAAGAAATAATATGACAATTAACCAATTGATTTTGAATTGTAAAGTTTTTATTTTTTTTTTAATGGTTGTAAAGATATTTTAGGTATGTCCATTTTATATTTTGGTGTAGTAGCTTTGTATGATTTGTGAATTAATTATTTTCCGTGTGTATTTGATATGAATTAATATTGGATTTATTGTATCATAAAGTATTTGTTTATGACGACTTAGTGAGACCAATCCTTCAACTGCTTCATCCATAATTTATGGGCTTTAGGATGAGTGTTGATATGAATTGACTTTTACTAATTCATCTACCTCACAACACCATTGTTTGACTAAGGGAGATTCAGCTAGGGTGCGACATTTTTATTGCACATGGCAATAGCCTACAACTTAGCAAGGCTTTCTAGTATTATGTTCCATCCACTATAAATTTGTCACAAGAAATGTCAGCCTCAAATCATTCCTCTGATTATATCATTCCATCAATCAAGCATAAATGGCTATTTTAGATCAACTTAAAGCCATATTTTTATATTTAACAACTTTATACTACAAACCCCTGAAAAACTACATCCACTTGGCATTCACTCATTTCCTCTCGGCTTCAAGTTCATCCTCACAATTCTACTCAGTATTACTTTAGAGTCAATATATTCCTTTCAGGCATCCATCCGATGCAAGAATTCCTTTCAGATACATGATAAAACACCTTTCAGGCTGCACGAACATCACCATGCAGAAAGCCAAGCACAATCAATTCCCAGGAGTTAAACATGGATGCACTATAACGATCATTTGTATACCCACTATCATCCTTTCATAGAAGCAAACATTGAGCTTTTTTATAATCGATTCTAGCTAACTCATCATAAAGATCCCACTACTATAAATACCCCAAGTTCAGACACGGAAAGGTCCTTTTGAACACTTATCAACGCTTTTGAACCTCTACACGCTTCTTGGCCTTTTAGGGTACTCTTTGTAACTTTGGATCCAAAACCATGCTTCTACTTGCAATTTCAAGCCAATCAAAGGAAGTACAATTTGGTTCTAAACGTAATGCTCTATTCAACAATGTTCTTAATCAGCTATTTTCTCTATCCTATCTCACTCTTTTTCTCTTCACCTCTACCTCTTATACATGTTGTATTGTAGAAATTCATATGACTATTATAATGAAAGCTCATATTTCTCCATGATAAAATATTTTGCCTAAATTTGGCACAAGGGAGATGGTTCATATTATAGAATCACTATAAATCTCATATGTTTATTGCATATGTGATTGGTTGCTCTTAAATTCTCGTCGGCAACTTAATCTTTAGCCCATTCCTTACTCTTCATATATGGTTGATCATTATGTCGAACGCTAACAAGATGGCCCATTCACCCAATTCCCAAAGAAGTTTGAAGATCGACAAAACTACATGCTATCCTTGAGGTTGTTTTAAATGAAATGGATAATAAAAAACTAAAAAAAAAACCAAGTTGTGAAACCTAATCAGATAGGAGGATTTTTTTTTATAGAAAGAGAAGCAAAATAGTGTGGTTCACTTTACTTCTAAAACTTAATAGGCAAAATAAATAATTAAAAAACATACATTTAGATGTATTTTGGCTTTTATGATCTATATAAATAATTTATTCTCAATCAATATATTAGATGCCATGAGTTTGCATTTTGCTTAAATTTTTTTTTTAATATTAATGAAATTTGTGTCAAATCGATAGCTCGATAGTAGAAATAGAATTTCTATGCATCTTTCAAGTCAAACAATATAAGTTGACTTCAGAAGATAAGTGAAACATAGCAAAAGATAACATTCACAAAAGTTCCAGAAAAATTAAAAGATACAGAGACGGTTGACATTCATGCAAAAAAGAAAAAAAAATGATTCTGAGGTGAACAGAGTATCTCGCTGAGATGACATCAAACAGTTCTTCAACCAGCAAAAAAGTAAATCAATGTTTATATATTTATCAATGATTCCGAACTACTATTTGAGAACGGAAATCATGCCAGTGAAAACCCCATGCAAGTGTACAAATAAGTATAATATAAAAATATACAAGAAAAACAGTAATGAGTGCTTTGATTAAGTTAATCACCTGTCCGCATATCAAAGGAAGCAAGATCCCCAGTACCAGTCCCCACATAAACTGTATAGCCATTCAGATCTTCCCTGACCACCTTAATGGGAGACTCTCGAAAATCAATGGATATTACCGGCCTCCTTTGTGCAGAAATATCATAAAGACGGATCTGCCAAAACAAAGGACAAAAATATAGAATCAGCTCTACATGAAAACCTAAATTTTCTATTAAATTTATAAAAAAAATAGCTAATCCCATGAATTAGTGAGATATTTTTAAGTTTGAAACAGCCAGATAAGTGACAAGAAAAGAAAGAAAAATTATTCAGTGAAAACAAAAGTCAATCCGCAAGTAAAAGAAGATTGACCTTTATTAGCATATCCCGCAACATACAAAAGGAAAGTAGAAGCTTATAATGACAAATTAAATGTCCCTATCGACAAATGTTAACCAATACACATATAAGTTACAGGTCAACAAAGATGGTCACAATTTCGGAGATTAAGCGTAAGTTCAATGCTAAACATAATTCAATGCGGACATTCTATATGTAAGAATTGTGGGTGCTACATTAGAAGCCCATGCATAAAGCAAAGGCATGTACAAATAATATAAGGAGTCAAATTTGGAATAAAAACTTGGCTCTTCAAACAAATATGTAGGAGTTCTAAAATGCATATTTTCATCTATCATAGGTTCAAAATAATATGGCAGTCAATACCTGATAATTGTTTGTCCCAGCAACAATTTTTCGATGATCTTCCTTGCTAAGGTAGGCAGCAGCAGTGAAACACGTTGGAGAAAATATTCCAAGAATGTTGACAGGAGGCTTCAAAGAAAGCAATAAATAAAATTTGTTTCATTTCTTCAAATAGCATTTCCAAATATGATAATTTGATGTATCAAATTAAAAGAATATGATAACCCACAAGTTTGGAAGTCCAAATCCTGGTAAAGCTCTCGAGATCCCACATATTAAGTTCCATGCCCTTTCTGAATCACAACAAGATAAATGATATATTAAGTTTATGATAATTGAAAAAATGTTTGTATCCCATCAGATTCAGCACAATGAATTAAATGGCAACAGTAGTTTAAAGTTGGCAACTATTTTCAAGAGAATTATACTTAACGTACCCTCCAAATAAAGCATACTTCTCCTTCGAATCTACTGATGAGCATACAACTTTACCAGCAGGACTTAAACCCCAGTTCGCTGAAGCACCTAGAGATGCCTCGTTCAATGGAATTGACCTCAAGCATATCTTTCCTCTTTCTGTACATATAAGTAGTATACCTAACCTGACTCACAAAGCCATAACCAGGAAACTTGCAAAACATCAAATGAGCAGAGACACAAAGCTTTTTATTTCTTTATATACATTACTAAGTTCAACATGGTAAATGGAACAGAAAAATAAAAGAAAAATTCTCATATATGTTATAACGCAGAAAGGAAAAAAACTATAAATTACATATCTTTCACCAAAAAAAATAAAAAAAACTCATCTTAGTATATCTTGGTTAAGTTGGAGTAATTATGTCTTATGTTGCAGAAAGCACAATTTTGATGATAAGCAATCAACCCAAAATCAGCAATCGAACCAAAAGATAAACAAATGGTGGCAAAACATAGGATATTAAGGTCAAGTATTGTGAGGCTATTATAGCTATTCTTTGCTATAGTGGGGATTTTTGTAAAGATAACTACAAGAAAGTTTTCATAGAATAACAGCTTACTGAGCATCTTTAAGTAAAAGAAAGCTTACACAAAAGGCCAACATGAGGTACAAGCATGAATAATTACAAAATAGAGCAAATTCAATGTTAGCATTTCTGCATTCCAAAAAGGTTATAAAAATGGACTAACTAGAAAAAACATGAAGCTATAAGTTCAGTTACATGCGTTACAACCATGTAGCCTTCCCACTAAGAAATATATCCTACAACTATCACATTATAGGCATCTTAAAAGTCTTAATTTGCAAATTTCAATTGGCTAAATCTGTAAAAAAAAATGACATAAAATATACAAGAAAAGCACTTACCCGGAGGATAACTCAATCTTCTTTGTTTTGAACAAGTGCAACCCCACAACTGGATCTTCTTCAACAGAATGATTTGCCAATCCAAGTTCACCAACCATAATTGTAGCCAAAGCATCTCCATTGAAGGGATTAAGAAGTTCAAGCTACAATTAGTAAAATCCAATAAATGCGATTAATAAAAGAATATAACCACCCACATTTTTATGTTACGAGCTTTAGCAGCAAATTAAACATAGCACATGGAAAACTTACCACACCATTTTTTCTTGCAACTGCTAGAAGCTGCAAAACAACTCACAAAAACTTAGTAACCAACTTATAATTGCTAATCTTTCTTTTTAAAATGTAAATAGCTGTTGATCGTGACTGAATCAAATGCAAAAGCATGCGACAAAGGATGTTTAAGACAAAAATTTGTTGTAGGATATAAGTTGCAATTAAATAGTAGTTCTTTGTAAAATCTGAAAACAACTAAACAAACAGAAGCCTTTAAAGAACAAATAACCTTTCATTGATATTGATTTAAAGAGCAAGGCCGGAATACAATTTGGAAGTACTCGGTTCTTTAGAAAAATGAAAATGATATCCATGAGATGTAACAATACCACAAAGTTCTTCTAAACAATATTTTATTTAATGATCAGAATAAGTCATGAGCAAATTGTACATAGGCATATGGCAATGAAGAAACCCAGAAAAGGTACAGTGAAACGCCCAAAAACAACAGAATAGATAGGTAAATGCTTATGCGTGCATCTTATTCAGGTTGAGCATAGAACAGTTTGCACGTCAAGAAAAATGAACATAGAAGAGTTAGAACTGAGCAAGGAAACAAGAAGAGACGTACCTAGTACAAAGAATATTAAAGTAGAAATGCAAAAAATATTTAGACAATTGCAAGATTCTCTCAATCTTCTACTAGCAAACTTGAAGTGCATGATTTGAACAATATTCATAAAGAATAAGATGAAGATGCTAAAATAAAAGCCCTCATTAAAATAAAGGGTGAAGACAATAAAAAAAAAATTGTAATTAGTTGACAACACTTTCAATGTCTATGACAAGGTTTTCTTGTCAATAAATATAAATTTATGTTATATCTTCATATAAAAAGGTTGAAACAAACATCAATCAGATTTTTGGTGGGATAATGCTCAATGCATGAACTTAATATCAATGCCCTTGCTTTTGCAAACAACTAGGGGTGTAACTGAGCCAAGCCGATTGGTTAGCTGACTCGGCTAAGCTTGATAAGAGACTCAAGAGCTAAGCTCAATGAGCTAACAAAACAAGCTCAAACCAACCTCAACTCGACTCATTAACTCGAGACCCTGCATGTTTAAAATTTATTAAAAGAAAATATACTAAAAAATAAAAATAAAAATTCAAAACTTAATTTTTAAATTATTAAAGATACTTTAAAAATGAAATTTATAGTTTCTATAAAGTGATTTCTTATTATTTATCTCCTAATTGCTCGTTTTTCTTTTTCTTTTTTTATAACACTAGAGCGAATTAATATTGTTTCCTCTCTTTCATAATAAAGAAGCCAACTCACAGGCCAGCTCAAACTCATAATATTAAGCTCAAGCTCAAACTTGATTAATTAATCAAGCCCAAGATGAGGGTGGTACAAGCTCGACTCGACTCACTTATACGCCCATCAACAACTGTTAAAACAATAAATACAATTGTATGCTAACTTTTTTCAAACTTTAGCCTCATTATGAGGTACATTAGCAAAAGAAAATTGGTGGCACATCTCTTTTCTGAAATGTAGCATATGAAAAGAGCATGTCAACATAGAAGGGCGCAAAATATACTGAAAGAACTTACTAAAAATCTTAATTGAACAGCAGGTCCAAGGCATTACATGGACTTCCTATACAACTTGCTAAAGTTTCCAAATTGCAGATTAGTGGCATTGGTGAAAACACAATATGGAAAATGGATTTTAAGACAAATTCATACAAAAGATATACGATATATATATGCACTGATGACCTAACCGGATTAGACTGGCGATCATCAAAGGAAGTTGCAAGCACGGATCGCGACGCATCAGGAGATCCCCATGTCTCAATCAACTTTGGAGTCCCAACCTTTCCATGAGATTCCACAACTACAGCATTAAACGATTAAAAAAAAGAGAGAAAACAACTCAGGCAAAAAATTTCATAACAGATGATAGACGTAAAAATTTTATGGGTCATTACCTTTAACAAGTCCTAGAACATCCGTGGTTAATGCCCTTACGGGAGGACAACCAGGAACCTCCAATTTAGTTGTTCTCGGCATATTTTTATATTGTTGTGGATTTCTAAAACAACAAGCAAAAACCATACAAGAGAAACAACCAATAAGCGCAATAAAATAAGACGGAATAAATGCCCAAAAACAAACTTTTTAGGGGCAGTCTGGCAAGAGATTTACACCAGGATTTAACCTGGATTTAGGCTAAATCTTGCCAGACGATCAGTTCAGAAAAAATAAATCCGCCGCTTTGATATTCCGGATTTCGCGGATTTCGGCCGTAAATGCCGGATTTACAAATCCTGTGAATCAGCGGATTTAGTAAATCCGGGTAGAACGATGATGAAGAATGGCGCGAACAGGCTTACTTTTCTCAGTGGTTTCTGGTAGGAGTGGAGCGGGAGAAATAGGATGAGAAAGATGGGAGATGGGAGTTTCGGGGGCTCTCTGAAAGGCGCAATCCCGTCGTTGCCTACTCAGCAAAGTCTAATCTTGAGGGTTCGTTCACGAAGGCGATGGTTTTGGGCCAGATCGGGAGAGGGGCTGGAACATGTACCTAGGGTTTCGCTTAGAGGATAGGGATCGGGAGACGGGGTAGGCGAGGGTTTCCGAGGAGAGAGGGAGGGAAAAATTTAAGTGACAGGCTAGGCAGCTCTGCGTATGATATTGAAGTTATATCGAGGATATAAGGGGATTATATTCATGATATAACTTCTTGTAATCTTCCTGTAACTTTCTATAAATTTTCTGTAACCTACTAATAAATTTTTAATATATGATAACAGAAACGCGAAACTTATTTTAGGTTACAGGTAGGTTATAGAAGGAAACTTATTTTTTAGGTTACAGGTAGGTTATAGAAGATTACAGAGAAGTTACAAGGAATTATACCGCGAATATAACCCTCATAAATCCTCGGTATAACTTCAATATCATACGCAGTGCTGCGTACGTCTATCGCACCCAAATTTTTTCCCTTCGCTTGAGCGCTCTCGGTTTGGGCTGTAAAAAATTGATCCAATAAGATTTGAATTGAACTCCAAGAATTAAATCTGATTATTATTGAGGTACGATTTGGATTAAACCCGAAAATTTAATCATGACCCGAATAAGCATGAAAATGTGGCTCGGGTTCGGGATAGTGTCTAGTTCGAGTCTTAGTTTTTGACTCGTCTATTATTCCGGTTGAGTTCGGGTTGAATAATAAATCTAAGTGATCCTACTAATCCAATGTAAAATGTTTGAATTTTTAACCAATCTGGTAAAACATGGTGTGAAAATTTTTTAAGATCTTCAAATCTTCCTCAAGCTTCATATATTGATTCCCCTTCAAACTAACAAAAAGATGTATTATTGTTTCTACACTTAGCGATTTTCGAGAGTGGAAAATATTTAGCCAATAATTTTTGTGTTAATTCTCCCCAAGTTCTGATAGATCCAGATGCTAGTAAATTTAACCAAGCTTTAGCTTTATCTCTTAATAAAAAAGGCAAAAGTTTAAGCCTAAGAACATTATTAGACACTCTGTCATATTTAAAAGTAGCACAAATTTCAAGAAAACTAGACAGATATAAGTTAGGATCTTCAGCAGGTGTTCCTCCGAACTGATTATTTGTACCATTTGGACAATAATAGGTTTAGGCTCAAATGAATTAACAGCAACATCAGGATCTTAAATAGTCAAGTGCAGTTCATCTGTTGTCGGATTAACATAATCCTTTTAAAGGTCTTTGTAGATTTTTGTTAATTTGATTATCTAATTTATTTCCCATTTTGTTTAAATTTTTAATTTGTTTTTGTTGTTTTTGAATTTTTTTAATATTACGTTCTAATTCTGATCGTAAGGTACTAAACCTTCAGATATAATATTTCACATAAACAAATAATATATATATATATATATATATATATATATACAGATAGGAGAAACTAGTCTCCCTACATGTTGAAATAAAGGGAAGGTTACAATATCTAGAACAGCAGGATGGGCTTGTTGAATCAATATAGGAATCAACAGTCCATCAAAAAACACAAAACAACAGTTTGCCATATGGGGCTTCAAAGTAAAGCTAAAAGGAAGCATAAGGGGTTCCCAAAAACAAAAGGGGAACACACAAGAGAAAGGGAGCAAGGTAGTAACAAATATATCAAAACAGTCACCAAGATCTTGATGTAATTCTGGAAAGTGTGACCATAAACAAATCTTCCTCAGAAGGTGTGAACTTGAGGGATACATAAATCATCCCCATGCAGTAGATAGGCTAAAGCAGGAGATGGGATATTTGCCACAATAAGTTGTTCAGAGCATCAACCAGAAGTGGCCAAAAGATGTGTTGGTCCATTGCCTTTCCTGTTGATGTGCTAAAATTTCACTATGTAGCTACCAAAAGTCATTTGCATTTTCCTTATCCATCTTCCAATGTGCCATGGGGGGTCCTCCTCATGCTGCAAAAACTTGATGCAAATGCTGGAGTTAGTTTCAATGATTAATGGCCCAATATTACATTGGACAACAATTTTAATAGACCAATAAATTGCTATCATTTCAGTTTCTAAGGAATCTAAAGCCCAAGTTGGTGAGGAGAAATGGAAAACATGATGTCCTAGAGAGTTTCTGAAAACACCATCACAGCCAGCATATCCTTTTAAAAAACTTCCATCAGTATTAGATGTCCTCCAGCCTTCAGGAGGAGGAGCCCATTCAATCAATGAGAAACTGAAATTATATTGATTAGCAGCTTGAGGAACCCAATTCCTGAAGATATATATATATATATATTCCATCAAGGAGAAACTAGTGTCTCCCTATATGTTGAAGTAAAAGGAAAGGTTACAATATCAAGAGTAGCAAGATGGGCTTGATGAATCAATACAGGAATCATCTGTCCATCAACAACGGAAAACAACAATTAGCCCTAAGGGGCTTCAAAGTAAAAATAGAAGGAAGCATAAAGGTTTCCCAAAACACAAGGGAAAACACACAAGAGAAGGGGGCAAGGTAGAAACAAAAAAATCAAAACAGTCACCAAGGTCAGAAGCAACTCTGTAAAGTGTGACCACAAACAAATCCTCCTCAGAAGGTGTGAAATTGAGGTATACTTAATTTATCCCCATACAGTAGATAAGCTAAAGAAGAAGAAGGGAAGTTTGCCACAAAAACTTTTTCCGAGCATCTACTAGAAGTGGCCAAAAGATGTGCTGTCCCATTGCCTTTCCTGTTGATGTGCTAAAATTTCACTATGTAGCTACCAAAAGTCATTTGCATTTTCCTTATCCATCTTCCAATGTGTCATGGGGGTCCTCCTCATGCTGTAAAAACTTGATGCAAATGCTGGAGTCAGTTTCAATGATTAATGGCCCAATATTACATTGAACAACAATTTTAATAGACCAATAAATTGCAATCATTTTAGTTTCTAAAGCATCTAAAGCTCAAGTTGGTGAGGAGAAATGGAGAACATGATGTCCTTGGGAGTTTCTGCAAACACCACCATAGCTAGCAGATCCTTTTAAAAAGCTTCCATCAGTATTAGCTTTCATCCAGCCATCAGGAGGAGGAGCCCACTCAATCAATGAGAACTTGAAATTATATTGGTTAGTAGCCTGAGGAACCCAATGCCTTAAGATATTAGGGAAATTGTGATATTTAATGATTTGTCTAAAGGTAAGATGTGCAATGTGCAGTCACAACTTTAGCAAGAGGTGTGGAATCAACATATTTAACACTATTCCTGCACATCCAAATAAACCAAGCCACTACACAAGGGATAACCTGTAATTTAACCTGTTTCCACTCTTACCAGCAGTTGTAAAAGTTGATCCAGCTGAGATTAAATAACTCAGTCTAAACTTTTTGAGAGAAGCTGCATTTAAAGAAGAGGTGATCCAAGGTCTCCTCCTCATGGCACAGAAGACAACAAGAAGGTCCCCCCAGCCCTTTCATTTTCAAGATATCATCAGTTGGGAGCATTGAATGCCATAATCTCCAGCTGAAGAAAGACATTGAAGTGGTTAGATGTTTCCCCAAAATATCGGTACCCCAATGAACAAAAGGCCATTGAAAGAAGGTTTGATAGATATAAGAAGCAACTTTTTGAGAATTGGCTTTTTTAATAACAATTTTATCTCTTTGTTCAGAATAAATATGTGTTTGCTGGACCAATTGCAACTGCTCATTGTATAGAATATTAGAGAGAAGTGTGTAATTCCACTGATTCTCTGTCCAGTAATCCTTAACCATATCATGTATATTTGAATTTGAGGCTGAGCTTGAATTTTTTCACCATTCCAAGTCCACCTATCAAACCAAAAATTAATTTGACCTTCCCCCAGCTCCCAGATGAAGGTCTCCTCAGCTTGCTCTCTAACCTCTAATAGTTTACCCCAAAGTCTAGAATCACCCAGCTTTTTGTTAACTTGGCTTGGGTGAGCAGTTCTACAATATTTCCCTTTCATAAAAATAGCCCAAAGGCTATCTTGGGCTTTAAATTTAATCCAGAGTTTGCATAAGTTAATGAAACTCATGTGCTAAAACTCCTTAAATCCCAAACCTCCAGCACAGTAAGGTTTGCATATCTTTTGCTAAGGGAGCCAGTGTACTTGTTTCTTATGTCCAACCCATACAAACTTGTTAAACATTCTCCCCAGTAGCTGCTGAGTTCCTTTCTTCATTGAAAACATTTGTAGAGCATAAGAAGGGAGGGTAGTAAGAATGCTTTTTAGTAGAATGACCCTCCCTCCATTGGATAAAAAAGAATTGGTCCAGCATTGCAGTTGGTTCCTAATCTTTTCACATTAAATTGTATCTGTTTGTTTCTGCCCTTAATTAAAAGAACACCTAGGTATTTGACAAGCAAAGAGGACAAGCTGAAACCAGTGTAACTAGATATCCAGTGTTTAATCTGTTCAGACATGTTAGTGCTAGGAAAAAATTGCCATTTTGGTATATTTAACTCCATACCTGAGGTGAGCTGGAAATGATTGAGGGCCTTATACAGCATTTTAGTAGCATTCTTAGTGGCCTTAGAGAAAATAATCACATCATCAGCATAAGCCAGATGATTGAGACAGACATTAGATTTGTGCTGAAAGGCCAACTGGGGGGAGCTTGAGAACATTTGATTCAGCAATCTAGAGAAATAATCCATAGCCAAAATGAAAATTATAGGGGACAGGGGGTCCCCTTGTTTGATCCCTATGGAAGCAGAAAAGAAGCCATGACAATAGTGGTTGTTACAAAGAAGCCATCTTTTAATCAACATAATGAAACCTTCAGCAAAGCCCCTAACAGCAAGAGTTTCTAAGATGTAATTCCAGTTAATAGTGTCATAAGCCTTCTTGATATCTAATTTATAGATAACATTACTACCTCTACATTTCCTGTCCAGGTCAAGTAGCATTTCTTGGGCAAGAAAAATGTTATTTGTAATGAATCTCCTTTTAACAAAGGCACTTTGGTTAGCACAAATTAGCTGCTGAAGATGTGGTTGAATTCTGAAGACCAGTGTTTTGTTTATTACCTTGGTAATAACATTAGTTGAACTAATGGGCCTGAAATCTCCCCAATTGTTTATGACCTGGTTTTTAGGGATCAAAGTGATTGTTGAGGAGGTAAAGTACCTGGTTCGATTGGTTCCTCTGAA